TTTTTGAGTTGGGGTCTTACTATTTGCCCAAGCCAGTCTCCAACTCCTGGGCTCAAGTGACCCACCTGCCTCGGCTTCTCAAAGTGCTGAGATTACAGGCATGAGCCACCACGCCTGGCCGAGACAGTTCTAATAATGAAAGCATAAAGCCCTAAGCATTGTTCTAAGAGGTTTACATGTATTAATTCTTTTAATCTTACAGCAGTATCTCGAGCTAGGCACTATTATTATCTCCACTTACAGATAAGGAAACTGAGTTCCAGCCTGCCCAGCTGTGAGGGTGATGGGTTTCATCTGGTCTGCCCGAGGGTGCTGATGACTCCTCTCCTGCCTGCTTCTCTCTTTAGGAGCTGCCTCCCTCCTGCCCCTCTCCCGCCGGACTGTTAGAAAATGGACACTGTGCCCAGCTCAGACCTTGGCAGCCCAGCCGGGGTGGAACACGGGCCTGGCCACCTCTCTCCTTTGCTCAGGCCTGCAGTGTCAGGCAGGCCAAGGCCTCCTCCTCCCTGCCCACCCTCCCCACAGGGCGTTGGAGGCTCAGGTGGCCCCAGTTCAATTTCCCGCTGCTGCTGCTGTGCCCTTCCCTTCCCCATTGTCCCAGTCTCTGCAGTTCTGGAATGGAAAGGCTCTGGCTGCCCGACCTGCTGAGGGGCGGGGGTGGAGGGTGGGGGGCGTTGAGTAGGACTCAGGGCCAGGCCTTCCTCCTCATCTCATTCAAACCCCTCCCTAGTTTCCCTGAAGGAACATTCCTTAGTCTCAAGGGCTAGCATCCCCAGGAGCCGGGCCAAGCTGAATCCCCTTCCCGTCGAAGCTGCCACTTTGAGTGCCCTCACTGCTTCTGTGTGTGGTGAGCGGAGTAGAGCTGGGGGGCGTGGAGAGCCCGGCGCCCCCACCACCTCCTTGGCCCGTCTAATATATAAATATAGAGTTGTGTCTATGGCTGACCCTGGCTCTGTCTGTGTTTGCGACGCCCCGCCCTGCCCCGTGCAGCTCTGAAGACAGACTCCAGCACCCCAGCTGCTGCTTGGCTCGGGCTTTCCAGGGCCTGGTGCCCTCCACTCACACTGCCCAGGGCTGGGGATGGGCCTCTGAGGAGCTCCAGACTCCTAGAAAGAAGGGGATCAATTTTCCCCTTAGTCACTGTCCTGTCCTCTCGCTAATGGCTTCCTGTCTGGCTAGGGGTGATTCGGGGTGACTCAGGGGCACCCTACATACCCCTGGATCCTCTGAAATGGCAAGGGAACAGGGCATGTTGGATGCCCTGGCCACCAAGTGCCAGTGGGAGGGAGAGGTACTAACAGTCCTGGGTGATTTTTACTCCCCTCATGTGGCCAGGACAGGGTGGGTGCCGGGGTCTGGGAAGGGCCCAGGGATATAAGGGTCAGGGCTGCTTGCCTCATCTCCTGATACTACCCTGGCTTCAGCCGAACCCTGCAGCCTGGCTCCAAGCCAGCCCAGCGGCAGGATCAGCAGGTCCCAGGGGCGTGGCAGTGGCCAGTAGTAGAGCCGGCCCACACCGGCTAGGCAGGCAGCAGAGTCCCTGGACGGCTGAGCGTGCGGCTGTGGGAGCTTCTGCAGGAGTGCAGTCATGAGCCTTTTCCTTTACTATGCCCTCCCCGCCCTCGGCAGCTATGCCATGCTCTCCATCTTCTTCCTGCGCCGGCCTCACCTGCTGCACACGCCCCGGGCTCCCAACTTCCGCATCCGCCTGGGAGCCCACCGAGGAGGTGAGCTGGGTGGGGTGAGAACAGGCGCCAAAGTGGACAGCAGAGAGGGGTAGGTCCAAGGGGTGGATGCTAGAAACAGGGCAGAGACCAAGAGAGGAGGAGAGCGAGGTGGCAGGGCAGGGCGTGGACAAGGAAGAAGAGGCTGGCGCAGCCTGGGCTGGCTGGGGAGGTGAGGACAGAGCGAGGATAGAGCCCAGAGAGGGAATGTGGGTAATGAGGTCGGGCCAGGCCCCTAGACCCCAAGCCCCAGGTTCCCACTCCAGTGCCCCCCACAGGATCTGGAGAGCTGCTGGAGAACACCATGGAGGCCATGGAGAAGTGAGTGTATCCGCCCCTGGCCAGGCTACCATGTGAGGGTGTGCAGGTCATGCACTGCATCATAGCAAGGGACGCCATTCATTTCCTAACCGGGTGACTGGAACCCCGTCGAGGTGGTCTGCACATCCCACCGTGAATTCTGCCCTCACATTCTCCACCACCTCCCCACCACCATGCCCATCATCCCAGTCCCCTGCCCCTCTGCCCCCCACTGACCTTCGCCCCCACAGCTCCATGGCCCAGCACTCGGACCTCCTGGAGCTCGACTGTCAGCTGACACGGGACAGAGTGGTTGTGGTGTCACATGATGAGAACCTGTGCCGTCAGTCAGGCTTGAACAGGGATGTGAGCAGCCTGGACTTTGAGGTGGGCCCTCCCCTGATACCCCACCCCTCACCCTGAGAGTCGCCATGCCTGATGCCAGCCTCTAGTGACATCCTTCCTGTCCTCCCCAGGACCTGCCCCTCTACAAGGAGGAGCTGGAGGTTTACTTCTCTCCAGGTGAGAGCAAGGGCTTCGAGCCCTGCCTGGGCCATGCCCGCCTTCCCCAGACCTCTACCTTGGCTTCCCTCTCTGACCCCTCTTCCCACACCTGCCAGGCCACTTTGCTCACGGGACAGACCGGCGCATGGTGCGTCTGGAGGACCTGTTCCAGAGGTTCCCAAGGACACCCATGAGCGTGGAGATCAAAGGGAAGAACGAAGAGCTCATCCGTGAGGTGGTGCTGCAGGCAGGGCGAGCGTGGTGACGCGGGGCGGGAGAGAGGCCTGGCTCTCCCGTCATCTCCTTCTCCTCTTCCAGATAGCAGGCTTGGTGAGGCGCTTTGACCGTAATGAAATCACCGTCTGGGCCTCGGAGAAGAGCTCCATCATGAAGAAATGCAAGGCTGCTGTGAGTTCGTCCTCCCTGCCCCCCACCTCCATCCCCTTCCTGCTCTAGCGGCCCCTCCTCCTGGGAGCTGGAGCCCACCCAGCCTGTCGACCCAAGCTAGAGGGGTCCGGGAGCGTTCTCAGTGGCATGGCGATGGCAATGGAAAGGGTGTGAACTCAGGCCTTGAACACAAAGCCAAGATGTGACTTTGTTTTTCTTTATTGAGACAGAGTCTCTCTCTGTCGCTCAGGCTAGAGTGCAGTGGCACAATCTCAGCTCACTGCAACCTCTGCCTCCTAGGTTCAAGAGATTCTCGTACCTCAGCCTCCTGAGTAGCTGGGATTGCAGGTGTACACCACCATACCTGGCTAATTTTTTAATTTTTAGTAGAGACAGGGTTTCACCATATTGGTCTTGAACCCCTGACCTCAGGTGATCTGCCTGCCTCAGCCTCCCAAAGTGCTTGGGGTTACAGACGTGAACCATCGCACCCATCCCCAAGATGTAACTTGGATCCTGCAGGTGCTAGGGCCTCCGAAATGCCCACCATGGCCCCCCTGCAGCCCATGCCTCCTCTCTGCTTCCCCAGAGCAGACAGATCCTCTCTCACACCTCTCCTTGTCTCCCCAGAACCCCGAGATGCCCCAGTCCTTCACAATAAGCCGAGGATTCTGGGTGCTCCTTTCTTACTACCTGGGGCTGCTGCCCTTCATCCCAATCCCTGAGAAGTTCTTCTTCTGCTTCTTGCCCAACATCATCAACAGGTACGGGGTTGATGGACCTCAGAATAACACCCCATTGCATAGGGTACCCTTTGGAGGAGGAGCCTGGATCTCCCCAGCTGGCTCCCATCAGAGATAACCCCCAAGGTACTTTAAGGACAGTGATTCTTACCCAGTATTCATGAATACTAAGGGAACTCTGAACCCCCTGAAATTCTGTGCAAATGTTTATTGATGAGTTTTAGAAGAGAGGGCTCATTTATCCATCTCAGTTCATCTAGCCTATTTTATTGAATGTCTGCTCTGTCCAAGGTGCAGTTATAATGTCAATAAAACCAATGAGGGTGGGAGGAGGTCCTCCATGAGCTTACAGTCTGGCTGGGGAGACACTAATTCATTCATTATATAGCATGGCTGTCTCAGACTCTAAGAAAAGGGCAAGTCAATGTTCTTCTGCAGGAAGGCAGGGGTTAACAAAGTAACAGCTGGGGAAAGTATCAGGAATTTGGATACTTCTCTGGCATTTAGGTCTGGGCCTAGTCCTTCCTTTTGCTTTTTAAAAACAATTTTTTTTTTTTTTTTTTTGGAGACAGTCTTGTCCAGGCTGGAATGCAGTGGCCAGACCATGATTCACTGCAGCCTCAACCTCCTAGGCTCAGGAGATCCTCCTGCGTCAGCCTCCTGAGTAGCCGGGAGTATAGGTGTGCATCACTGCACCTGGCTAATTTTTAAATTATTTGTAGAGACAAGGTCTCACTTTGCCCATGTTGGTCTTTTTTTTTTTTTCCTTAGTCCCTTAAAACAATACTACCAAAGCCCATGTTGGTCTTGAACTCCTCAGCTCAAGCAAGCCTCCCGCCTCAGTCTCCCAAAGTGCTGGGATTACAGGCCTGAGCCCCAGGGCCTGGTCTCCCTTTGCTTTCTGACAGCTTCTCTGTGGTGGTCCGAGAGCTTTCTGCTCCCCTCTGTGGTCCAGAGGGAAGTCCCGCTCAGCCCCTACAATCCCTTGCTGCAAAGAAGTCATTCAATGATGTTTGTGTACCACCTTTTATACAGGATTTATAAAGTGTTTTCACATCTTTAGGGTTATTTGACTTTTACCTTGTAGCACCCTCAGGAGGTTATAGGAATCGTGACCCCCATGGTACCCTAGAGAATCTGAGGCCCAGAGAGGTTCTGTGATTTGCCCAAGGTCACACTGCCAGAAATCCAGAGCTTGGGTTTTCCCTGGGTCTGACTCCAAAGCCTGCCCTAGGACACTATAAAGGGCCTCTAAAGTCACCCCTGGAGTAGGATAATTAGGGACCAACCCACTACGCGATGTCTGGTCTCAAGAAGCTGGCCAGTGGGCACAGTAGCTCCCACTTTTTTTTTTTTTTTTTTCCTGAGACGGAGTCTCGCTCTGTCTGTCGCCCAGGCTGGATGGAGTGCAGTAGTGCAATCTCGGCTCACTGCAACCTCTGCCTCCCCAGTTCAAGCAATTCTCCTGCCTCAGCCTTCCAAGTAGCTGAGATTACAGGAGTGCACCACCATGCCCAGCTAATTTTTGTATTTAGTAGAGATAAGGTTTTGCCATGTTGGCCAGGCTGGTCTCAAACTCCTGACTTCAAGTGATCCACCTGCCTTGGCCTCTCAAAATGCTGGGATTATAAACATGAGGCACTGCATCGGCTGGCTCACGCTTACTATCCTGACACTTTGGAAGGTTGAAGCAGGAGGACTGCTTGAGTCCAGTAGTTTGAGACCAGCCTCCGCAACATAACGAGACCTTGTCTCTAAAAACAAACTTTTTTAGGCCGGGCGCGGTGGCTCATGCCTGTAATCCCAGCACTTCGGGAGCCCAAAGTGGGCGGATCACGAGGTCAGGAGTTCAAGACCAGCTTGACCAAAATACAAAAATTAGCAAGATGTGGTCATGTGTGCCTGCAGTCCCAGCTACTTGAGGGGCTGAGGCGGGAGAATCGCTTGAACCCAGGAGGCAGAGGTTGCCGTGAGCCGAGATTGTGAGATCACGCTACTGCACTACAGCCTGGGCGACAGAGCGAGAATCTGATTTAAAAAAAAACAAAATTGCTTTAAATTAATAATAAGATAAATAAGTAAGATAAATAAATAAGAAGCTGGCCAGGCCCAACCAGGAGGACCTCCAGCCTGGGTATCCAGCTTTGGAACTGAGCCAGATCCTGGCCCCAGCACCACCACTGCTCTGCTCTGGGTCTAGCAAGTCCCTTCAGCTCTCTAAGGCCCAGACTTCTTATCTGTTGAATGGTGACTGGAGGGCCACACCCTCAAAGTGTAGTGGTCAGGCTCTCTGAACAATGGGTGAATTGTTCATTAGGGCCACTGCAAAGGTTATTCTGGGGGACTCTGGGGGGCAGGAGGGCAGCGCTACCCTGATCAGAGGCAGGGGGACACTACCACCCCACCCCACCTCTGGGATGGGAGACCCTAGGGGCTGACCCCCACCTCCTTCTCTCTGCAGGACCTATTTCCCATTTTCCTGCTCTTGCCTGAACCAGTTGTTGGCTGTGGTTTCGAAATGGTGAGGTGGGCGAGACGGTTAGGTGGAGTGTCCCCATAGAGACCTGCTGCTGCCCTTCTCCCAGGTCCCCTCTTATCATCACCTCCCCTGTCCCCATCCCCAGGATGATCATGAGGAAGAGTCTGATCCGACACTTGGAGGAGCGCGGGGTGCAGGTGAGGCCTTGACCACTGCTCCCACTGCATGCGGGCCTGGCAGTACAGTTCTGGTCCCACTCTGCTGCCAGTTAGCTGCATAGCTCAGGCAGGTGACTTCGTCTGAGTCTCAGTTTCTTCATCCCTAAAATGGGAAAATGGTCTATTTACCTCTCGTTTCTTCTTTTTGTGTGTGTGACAGTCTTGCTCTGTCAACCATGCTGGAGTGCAGTGGTGCAATCTTGGCTCACTGCAACCTCTGCCTCCTGGGTTCAAGTGATTCTCCCTGCCTCAGCCTCTGAGTAGCTGGGATTACAGGTGCCTGCCACCACACCCAGCTCATTTTTGTGTTTTTTTTTAGTGGAGACAGCGTTTTACCAGGGTGGCTAGGCTGGTCTAAAACTCCTGGCCTCAGGTGATCCACCTACCTCAGCTTCCTAAAGTGATGGGATTACACGTGTGAGCCACCACATCTGGCCACACACACATTTTCTTAACCCAACACTGCCAACATATGGATATGTAACTAGTGCTTCTTTTTTTTTTTTTTTTTTTTTTTTTGAGACGTCTCGCTCTGTTGCCCAGGCTGAGTGAAATGGCGCAGTCTCGACTGACTGCAACCTCTGCTTCCCCGGTTCAAGTGATTCTCCTGCCTCAGCCTCCTGAGTAGCTGGGATTACAGGCATGCACCAGCATGCCTGGCTAATTTTTTTTTTGTATTTTTAGCAGAGACGGGGTTTCACCATGTTGGCCAGGCTGGTCTCAAACTCCGGACCTCTTGATCCACCTGCCTCAGCCTCCCGAAGTGTTGGGATTACAGGCATGAGCCACCGAGCCCAGCTGTAACCAGTATTTATTAAGGGCTTGATAAATGTTAGATATTATGATGACAACAATGATGTATCCTGATCCCTGATGAGAGGGGCCGTGGAAAGATGAGAGAAGGGAGAAACCAAGGCCAGCCCACCCACCCTCTCCCCTGAGCATCGGCCTCAACCAGATCATTTAATTTATAAACCATCCTTGAGAATGTACCAGGCACTATGGTACTAGGGGTGGGAGCTTACCATCAAGGGCACAGGGAAGAAATGCCGTAGGCAGAGGCTGGGCACAGGGGCTTCCATCTGTACTTCCAGCACTTTGAGAGGCCACGGTGGGAGGATCACTTGAGTTCAGGAGTTTAAGACCAGTCTGGGCAACATACCAAGACCCCCATCTCTACCAAAAATTTAAAAATTAGCCAGGCACAGTGGTTTTTGCACCTGCAGTCCCAGCCACTCAGGAGGCTGAGATGGGCGGATCACCTGAGCACAGGGGTTTGAGGCTGCAGTTAGCTATAATTAGAATCACGCCACTGCACTCCACACTCCAGCCTGGGAGAGATAGCCAGACTCTGTCTTGAAAGAGAGAGAGGAGAGAGAGCAAGAGCGAGAGAGCCAGAGAGAGAGAGAGGGAGAGGGAAAGGAGAGGGAGGGAAACAGGAAAAAAAAGGGAAAGGAAAGAAAAATGCAGAGACCTGGCACGGTGGCTCACGCTTGTAATCCCAGCACTTTGGGAGGCCAATAACTTGAGGCCAGGAGTTAGAGACCAGCCTGGCCAACATGGTGAAACCCCATCTCTACTAAAAAGGTACACATTAGCAGAGGATGGCGGTGGGTGCCTAGAATCCCAGCTACTTGGGAGGCTGAAGCACAAGAATTGCTTGAACCCAAGAGACAGAGGTTGCAGTGAGCTAAAATCGCACCACTGCACTCTAGCCTGGGCGACAGAGCAAGACTGTCTCAAAAATTAATTAATTGATTAAGTAAAATTAACTGGGCATGGTGGTGCACGCCTATAGTCCCTGCTAGTTAGGAGGCTGAGGTGGGAGGATCCCTTGAGCCCGGAAGGTCAAGGCTACAGTGAGCCATGATTATACCACTGCACTCCAGCGTTGGCAATACAATGAGAATTTGTCTTGTCTGTATTTTTCTTTTTTTTAATAAAGATGGGGTTTCTCCGTGATGGCCAGGCTGGTGTTGAACTCCTGACCTCAGGTGATCCACCTCGGCCTCCCAAAGTGCTAGGATTACAGGCGTGAGCCACTGCGCCCGGCTGTATTTTTAATAAAATAAAAAATTCCAATCTCAGTGCCCACTGGAAAGGGCAGGAGGGCAGGGAAGGGGCAGAGCTGCAGGAGCTGGGGCAGGCAGTGGGGGCAAGGGGGCTGGGGGAAGGCGGTGCTGGTTAAGTGGTCAACAACCAGCTCTCAAAGAGGAACAAATAAAGCCCTGATCTGAGCATTAGTTTTCCTGGTTTAAATATTCCCACCTTGGCCAGTTTCAGGCTGCCAACATGAAGCCACTAAATGAAGAATGGGAAGAGATTCGTGGTGGCACCCCATCATCTAGTATTTCCATTTTACAGCTTCAGCAGACTTAATAACTTCAAGAACAGAGTAATAGGAAATTGATTAGGAAGATTAGGAAGAGATATGCTTTGAGTATTTACTAGTGTTTGTTTTTTGAGGTTTTTTTTTTTTTGAGACAGAGTTTCACTCATGTTACCCAGGCTGGAGTGCAATGGCGCGATCTCGGCTCACCGCAACCTCCGCCTCCTGGGTT